CTTGCATGGTATCTGTGTGTATGTGGTTTATTTGTTTGTTTCCCTTTTCTTTCTTTCTTTTCTTTCTTTCTTTCTAGATACCTTGGGGAATAGATAGAAGCTTCCTAACTTTTCTGTTTGCCAGTGTATCAGCTGTATCCATTCACTTATTAATTATGAAAACTTGTCTTTCACAGGGGGTAATGGTATTTAGGAAGTAGTACTTATTTTCTTTTACACAGGCTAGGTTCTATAGGTCATAGGAAATTCGGCATAGGTTTTTTGTTTTGTTTTTGTTGTTTTACTTTTTTTTAATGGAGCTATTTTCTTTGGTTTTGTCTTGCTATTCTGGGGCCTTCTAATTTAATTTGTTTTGCTCTTGTTATTTGATGAAGCAGGTAACACTGCCTAACCTGGTCCAGTTATCATCCACACACAGCCTGAAGTCTGGAAGGGACCCAGGTTTCCTGGGACATACACGTGGTGAATAATAGAGATTAAAAAATAGTTTCTAAATTATCAATCCAGATTAATGGAAGTAAAATAGTACTTAAATGTTTCTGTCTTCTCATTTTCCTTATTTGTAGACTTAGCAACTAGGAGAAGATGCTGATGACAAAACGTATGTGTGTTTACACTGGGCAGTATTTACTTGTAGTTAACGGGAGTGAGTGTAAAGAGAAAGAAAAAAAACGATAGCATGTTATTTGTGTCATCTCTCCTCCCACCCAATTCCTCCAATTGTCTCCTGGATTAGCAATGAGTATTGTTTCTATGGGCGTTTTTATTTGTTTGTTTGCTTTTTAGATATTTTTCCCCACCCCATCACCTACCTCTCCCCTTTGGGAATAAAGGGAGCTAATAAGGCATCTTATTTCAATAGTCTTCTGGCTTTCGGATAATAGAAAGTCAATTTAAAGTAAAAGATAACTGTGGCAGGCAGGATTGACACAGAAGTGCATGGGTTCCTACCAGCACTTGGTAATGCTAACGACGTTTTCCCAGTTACTGGTATTAAGATAGTAGCAGGTCCATACTAGCAGCGTTCCGAGGGCCAAGCACAGCTGAATTTCTGCCATTCCCGCAGGTTCATGTGCACCTGGGACCAGCCACACCCAAGTGGTATCAGTCAACAGTGTATCATGCAGTGTCTCTGTGTGTGTTTTTAATTCACGATTTCCTCTTGAAACTCAACGAAAGAGTGTTAACTGTGTGTGTTTTTTTAAATTCAGTTTTGTATGCTAGCATTCTTTAAATGTCTGCCAGAAGTTTAATTTGAATTTCTGATCCCTGAAGGCAGCTAGACAGAATCATTCTAGTTCTTCATAAATTGCCTTCTATGATTCATTGTTAACTCAAAAAACATACTCATTTCTATATTCTCAAACAGTTAAGGTAGTTACAGCATCAGGGATATAATTTTTTTTTTTTTTGCACTATCTTTAAATTGTCATTTGAGAAAGAAATCAAGAATTAGGTGAAACTCCCAGTTAAGGCATGAGCCCTGTAGCACAAAAAAAAAAAAAAAATCAGAATTTATTGTTTTTTATCTCAAGGAGGGTAAGGTAGATGGCATAGAATCTGGAAAAAATAAAGTTTAGTTTTGACCGAATACTCTCGAAGAGGGGCCCATAAATAGTAGAGCACCGTAGTTAAAAACTCACATGACTGTTTTAAATACTATTGATTTAAACCACTGGCTAGATTTTATGAATCACAGTGTAATTTCTAAGCTTTGACCATATTTCTCAATGCTAAAGCACTCTCTCTTGTGTGCCTTTAGCCGCTTTCCAGACATTCAACACAGGATTAAATGATAGTAGTTACAGTGATCAATAGGTTAAGACCGGTACAATCACTCTTGCCGCTAATGACCTCAGTAGTAATGGGCAATAAAGTGTGGACTATAATAGCCTCTCGCTGGTACTGCATGCCCTTTGATTCCTAGTATTAGTAGGGACTAGCTACATGAAAAAGTTGGACGTTGGGAGTTAAGAGAGTGGATATGTGTAGCTCTGTTTCTTAACTATTTAAAACCTTAAACTGTGCTGTTTTTTGTGGGTTTTTTTCTCCCTTTTCTACCCATAGTGGTTTCTCGTCCATTTGGATATGTTTGTTAAAACCTTCCATAACTTATTTTCAAGACACGTTGGAGCAGAAACTGGGGAAATCTCAGTTTTATCACATTTATAAATTAAGGTCAGGCCCACTTTGGAGTCTTACAAGCGAACTGGTGTGAAAATGTGGTTTCAGATAGTAAAAGCAAAGTTGAGGCCATCAGCATATAATACCCCACTTCTGGTTATTCAGAGACCCTATACCAGGCAGGAGGCTTACTCAGGCTTCTTGCCTCTTTCCCTCCTTTGGTTGTGCCTGCTGCTTGAGCATTTTATTACTCATCAGCACCTCCATGAAAATGTCCAAAGGGAAAAAGAAGAGGAGACTAAGTTCATTTGGCTGTTCAGTAACATGACTGCAAACATTGAATAAATAACCCTGGGAGAAGCACATTTAACTATTGGCCATATCCAAGGTTTTCAAAATTATCTGTATATGCCAGTCCTTTTTTTAACTTTTAAAATGGATTTTATTCAAGTATAATTTACATACAAGAAGATGCACTCAGTTTAAGGGTACAGGTGGAAGAATTTGGGCAGTTGTGTTCACTTGTGGGACTACCATCCCAGTCAAGATAGACGGCATTTCCATCACCCTCAAAAGTTCTCTTGTTCCCCTTGTGAACATAGACTTTCCACGGTTCTTTTAAAAAATTGTGACCAAGAGATTATTTCTATGAAGACTTCTGTTACAACACTGTTAATTTCATGTTCATCACCAGTTTAGATCTTACACCACCCTATTCCTGTCTATTTTCCTGTTCATCACCATCAGAAATTTGGCTCAAGAATATTTATATTGTACGTCATCCAAGAAACGCAGAGGAAAAAAGAAACCTTAAACATGGTTCTTTTGTTTGCTTAATCAAACCTCCCTGTATGATGATGCAACTCTCAAGGAAAAGTAAACTTCTATTGTGATATGTTGGCTTTAGCAGCTCAAAAGATAGTGATTAGCACCCAATACATTTTGAAAAATTCAAAAAGTTTCTTGTGTGTGAAGACAAAGTAGACTAATTGGAATTAATTTATAGATGGTTAGATGTTTTGATAATGCCTTCTTGTGTTTGCCCTAGATTGAATGCAAGTTCACTGTTCTAATCATTGATGATATTTCATGCTGCAAAGTAGCTTTTTAAAAGGATAATTCATCCATTCATATACATCTGTCCCTTTTTGCATATAAAAATATTCAGACATGCCCATCTGTTTTAAATTACAGTGTATCTACATCTACACTTAAAAGGCCACTGCAATAGGAAGAATTCATTGATGACCTTCCAGAGTTAGGTTAATGAAATTTCTCAAATGTTCTAGCCGGTGTTTTCCAAACAATGCGAAACTTGCACATAAACATCCCCCCACACAAGACATGCCCACAACAACAGTGGAGGATGTTCACTGTACATGAATCTGACCTTCAGGAACCATTTTTAGTTCATCAAAATTAGTGATGCTGAGAAATCGGGACATCAGTGCATAATGACTGTGAAATTAGGAATGAGAGCTCGCTATGCAAATGACAGGACAAATCATGTGAAAAAGTCAAGATAAACTGCATATTAAGACATTATATTACATAAAATTAATACTGCATTTCTCCCTTTTGCTTACTGCTCCCCTGAAAGATTTTTTAATTCTTTTATCTTCTGATCAGCTATTGTCTGCCAGATTTTTTTTTTTTAAGTGGCACACAGGCAAAGTGCAAAACATGTTATTACCTTTTATTGTAATACATGAGATGACAGGAGATCCTTTTTAACAAAGTATATCCTTTACTGCTTCTAGCTTCTTGCTGTCACATGTTTGATTAGAAACCAAAGAAAAGTAAGATGCTTAAATATTACTGTTAGAAGACATACAGGTTTTGTCTTTTCTTTCATTGTTTTTTTTTTTCCTTTCCTTATCTTTTTATTTGGTGGGGGCGATTTTTCATGAAATAGTCTTCTTGTATTACGGGGACTGACAAAATGGTTCTCATGTAGTCTGCAAATTAAACACAAGTGCAGTGATTATTTTGAATAGCTAAATTACATTCTAGAAAGCTTGCAGAATTCATAGCATTGTCATTAGGTATCCGCTTGAATACAATTTGTGTAACCTTGGCCAAGACAGCCTGTCATTTTAATGTCAGTGTTTTATCTGAACAAGACATCATCCTTTCAGATACAGTAGTGCAGGTTCCTTGCAAAGATGCCCGTGCAGAAACGTGTTAACAGTTGCAAATATGAAATGCTATCAAGTTCATCACTGTAGCTGTTTGTCACTGAAATGTCATGGAAAGCAGCTTTTAATGGTATCACACGTAATATGAAAGAATGGAGACATCTGTGTGCTGGGTGAATAAGGAAGGGTAAAAGGCATCTTGGGAAAGGTCTGCATTGAAGTTCGCAAGGTGCGCCCAGGGTTCAGTCACCCACAAGACCAAGCATTCATTGATTGTCCTTAAAAAATCACTGTCCACAGAGGAAGTGGATCAGAGTAGCTCCTGCCGAGAAGGTACTGGTTCCCATTTGCCTTGTTCCCTAAAACACAATTCAAGTTTGCCTTAAACTTCCTAGCGCTGATGGCCACCGAAAACTCGTGCTTCGTAAGAAATCGAGATCATCCCCACCTATCTCCAGATAGCATTTGTTAAGTCTTTACTCCTTGTGTGCCTGCAAGGCTGTCTGGGCACCTGTCATTGCTGCGAGGTCTTCTTTTGTTTTTCTTTTATTTCACATAAACTCCGTAAGAGATGAAATAGGATTTGTTGCTGCATCCGCTCTGGATAAAGACACTGTGCGTGGGGAACTGGTCAGTTCTTGGAGCAGGCTCGTGACCGTCTGCCGATGACCCCAGAAGGCTGAGTGCTGCGTGCATGCGATTTCCTGGCTTCCTATTTATCCTTCATTAACGTTCTAGGTTCCCGTGTCAGTGGCTATGATGACACCTCAAGTTATCACTCCCCAGCAAATGCAGCAGATCCTCCAGCAACAAGTGCTGAGCCCTCAGCAGCTCCAGGTCCTCCTCCAGCAACAGCAGGCCCTCATGCTCCAACAGGTAACCGTCCATCCTCCTCCTCCCAGGGCCGGTGACTCCATTCGCCATTCCCTGCGCCTGATCCGCTCCTTTGCCCATTGTAGAAAAAGCAGAGCAGGGTGGCTGGGGCAGGACACCGAGCGGGCCCCTGAAATAATCGATGTCCTTTGCATCCCAGGAAGCAGAGGGACCCCTGCCAAAGCGACTAGGGTTCGGGCCTGGAGAGTACCCGATGGACTGAGATTAGGGCTGTAATTGGACTTGGTAGATATAAGATCTTTTAGGCTTATGTGGCTTTACACTCTTTTATTTGGTAAGCCCAGAGGCCTCGAAATGGTGTGAATCAAAGCAAAATGGGGAGCACGTTAGGAGCAGGTTTAAATGTGACAGCTCTTGAAGTCCCCATTTCAACTCAGAGGCTCACAGAATTTTTCTTTTAAACATCAAGAGACATCCCGGAGTTGGTTACTTTTAAGGTGCAGAGTTCACTTTCCTTCTTTCATGTATGCTGATGCAGAAATGAACTTCTGGCTGCCATGTGCCACAGGGACCTCACATTCAGACTTCCCGGACCCCCAAACCAAAGAGATGCGATTCAGAACTAGAGTGACAGAAGTTGCCAGGGTGAGGCGGTGGGGACCAGAGGCTGAGCGAGCTGCCCATTCTGTTGATGCAGACGCTGAACACCCCACCACCCTGCCCAGCCCCATCCTTCCGAGAGTAGGCATGCTTTCCAGGGTAGAGATTCACTAGACTCTCTCAGCAAGGGCACTGGGGCTTTGTTGTCCAATCAAAGGTCATCCCTTGCCTTATTTTAATTAGTTTGTGTAGAAAATGGTATGTTTTTCATCAGGTCATTTTGGAGATTAGTTTTCAAACAATAATGCCAAGAATAGTCAGGGCGCGCTGAAATTTATTGTCGAGTTTCAAACTAAAGGTCAGGCCATTCCAGATAAAAGGATGCTATTTTTCAAATCGCAGTTGTGTGTGGCACCACATCGGGACAGTGGGCTGGCGGTACCCTCTGTTACTTACTGTCCTCTCTTTCCTTTGTAGCAGCAGCTTCAAGAGTTTTATAAAAAACAACAGGAACAGTTGCAGCTTCAACTTTTACAACAACAACATGCTGGAAAACAGCCTAAAGAGGTACCAACAATACATATTTTACTTTCAAACCACAGATCCCAGAGGACTGTCTAATGGCTATTAAACTGTCATTCATCTCTTAAATGATTGCACAACTGAGCTATCGGTTCGCAGCTCTCAGACCAAGAGTGATCGTCCTGTTGTTCTCTGAGATTTTTCTGGGTTCCGTTTCGTGGCTGCCACCTCTTTGGGAGCAGCGCTGCAGGTGTCCCCTTGGGGAGCACCAGGAAGCGGGATGGTGGGCCAGACCGTCAGGGCTCCTCCCGCGGGCGGGCTGAACGGTGGGCCGAGGTGCACCTGCTGCTAGCACAAGTGTACTTGGACCCGGGCTTGAGATTTTCTCCAGCTCAGACAGCTTGGGGGCGTGGGGATGGCCCTTCCCTTTGGAAGGATCCGCTCTTGTGAGGTTGGACAAACAGAAAAGTTCGACCAAGAAATGGTCTCTCCTATCTCTGTGTTCACTTTTTCTCGCAAGTTAGACACGTTTGGTAATTGCTCAAGGCAGGCGTGAGATGGTGCCACTTGCAGGGAAGACTCCTCTGAGCTTGGATGATTTGTGTGTCCCTGACAAAAACCAGTGTGGCACGATGGCTTCCGTGGGCCCAGCACTTTGTAAGAGCACACAGTTGTGGCGCCAGGCCCCACCACCCAGTTCGGTGACCGTGTTAGCTCCGGACGTGGGAAGGCCTTCCCAGGGGAGGTGTCCGCGTCTCACGTCCCGTACGGTTCCATGTCAGCGAAGACCAGGCCGTTGGGGGAGCGTCCGTGTGCGTGTGGGCATTATCATGCCATCTTCCTCCTGATTTCAGAGTTCCCCGATGTCACTTAGCTCCTCACCTTTTTACCGTGGACTGGAACACTTTTCATGTGAGTGTTCTCCTCGGAATGCCACAGTTCGTAGTTTGGAAAACAGCTCCCAGCCCCCTTGCACGGCCTCCTCGCTGGCCCCAAGCAGGCGGCCACTTGCGTTGGTTTGGAAGGAGCCTCGCTCGACGACTCTCCACAGCCCTGTCCCTCACGTAAGCGTGGATGGCGGGCCGCGCTCACGTTCCATGCTGGGAACGGCCCCGGCCGGCTCCTTCCTCAGCAGAAACTGGGTGCTTTATCCATGCCCTGCCAGCTGTTTGCCCTGGAGTCCTGTTCAGCAGCCTGGATGGCAACCCCTGCAGAGTCGGGGCAGTTTGGGGGTGACGGGGAGGAGGTGCTTTCATGAAAATGCTGACACAACCCTTAAGTACAGTGGCGCGCTACTGGGGGCTGCTATAATAAAAAAGGGAACAGATTAAAAAGTGTCTAAAATGTAAATCTAAAGGACTAACAGTAATTAAAATGGAAATGGCACAGGGAGGGAAGGCATGTAATTGTGAGATATCACTGTGCAGAAGGCTCTCAGCTTTGTTTTGCTGGCTGTTTTTCTAATTCAGTAGGGCTTACTCATCAGTGGCAGTTCAATGCGCGTTAATGACTCTGGGATTGCAGGCATCACTCTGGACAAAGAAATGATTATTGTGCGGTCAAAAGAAGTTCAAAGACAAGAAGGGAATTTCAGTTTTTTCCTTAGAGATCCACATTCAAGAGCATATAAATTAAGCCAAATGTTAAAAACCACAGTCTGAAAGCTGACTTCAAAGTCACAACTCTCTAATTAATGAACTGCGAGCTTCAGTTTGGACAAGTTGTGGTTTGATGCGCCCATAAATCAACATGACAGGCCTGTTTCACAGTCTCAGACAGTGCTTGTCATTGAGTCACATCAGATGTAAACACAGCAGAAAAAAGAAGGGATATGAAGGAGGTGCAATTGATCAACAGAATTGGTAAAAACCCACTTTTGAAGCACATTATGCATGATCACAGGAAATGGTTACAGCCTCAAGAGGTTTCCCCTTCTGCTGTTGCTTTGTTGAATCAGATTTCTAACAGCCTTCAAAAGGGAGAATAAGAATTATGGAGTTTCTCCCCTGTGGCTCACAGGCAATAACCCCCTGTTGTTATTTTGTGCTTCTTTCTTTTCAAAGGCATCAAAATTTAGTTTTTTAAAGATCTTTAACTCTATATTTGAAGACAAACAAAAAAGGGCTGCCACTGTCATTCTTATCAGTTACCAGGGATTGTGTTTTTTCTTTCTGTTGCCACTTCTTATTAACCTCTTATTTGGTCTGTTAGACAGAGTTTGGAATGCACGTCTGCACGCTGAGAGAACATGAAAGTTCAGATGAGCTCAGAGGGCAGATAAAGAAATGTGAAGGGGAGAGTTACACAGCAGAAGGAAGGATAAAAGTTAACTCTCCCAAACTGCTGCTGTCAGAAAGGGGGCATCTTGATGATGGTGGTGCCTGAGTTTGGGAAGGGAGTACTTTGTATCTGAACCAGGAGAAGGCGGGACATTATTTATGGCAGCCTTTCAGCATCTATCTCTAGGACTCGAGGTTTGCTGTGGTCACGTTCTGTCATCCACTTCCAAGGCAAAGGGGATAGAAGAGGTAGGTTTGCCTTCCCATCCTGAGGGGTAGGCAGACCGGCGGGCAGGTCCCCTTGGATCCCGCTGTATGTTCACCGTGCCGGTGGATTTGGCTGAGAGCTTGTGTAACAGTGATTAAGAGATCCTTATTTTCCTGAGGTAAGGGGGTAGGCTCCTGAAATTATCATGCAGGTGGTGGTCCTTTCGTGCTACAGTGAAATAGAGTCACATGGTAGCAATTTCACGATGTGGACTGGTGGTTCTGATTTTAACAAGGTTTGAACTTGGATGTTGACAGATGGAACAAGTATATTAATTTACTGAATCCCCAGTCATTAGTGGCTCATAATTTTGAATCGTCAGCCCCCCCACCCCCGCCGCCACCACCCTTTTCCCTGTTCTAATTACCTCTGCAGTAAGACACTTGATCCTCAGCCAGAACAATGTACCTTCACTCAACTTTTTTCTAAAGTTGCCTCGAGATGTTTCCTTGAGAAAGTTAGGCTCCCCATTGAGTTGGCCCTAAGACCTTCTGTAGGAGATAGATCTTCTGTAGCCCCATACAGCTAGTGAAGTGACTGCCCGTTAATATTTGACAGAACGGGTGTGGAAAATTGAAGGCAGAATTAATTTTCGGTCGAGCTACAGAAAAAGGTCCCATCCTGTGCGGGTGAGGTAGGCTCAGTTGATTGTTTTAAGAGGGCCGTTTGTCCGGGTAGTTATGACAGTTTATGTTAGGCAGCAGGGAGGAGCCGAAGAAAGGAAAACAGACCTTTGACTGCAGCTCTAGGGAGGGGATCTGAAATGCAAGGTTTATCAGGGCATTTTAGCATTTTAACACTGACTACTGACCTGTCCAGGGGACTGCGCGGAGACCTTTTTTGTATGCATTCAATTGTGAGAAGTAAACAAACGGGCTCGTATCCTGTGTTTGGTAACTGGGTGGGGAGCACAGTTTGGCAACCAGTGTTGCTTTTAAATTCTTTCTTTGGACAATGGGCCTTGTATACTTTTATATCCTGGCTTTTCAAACGTGGACAGCTTTCATGAGCTTTTCCTAGGGATGGCCGCAGAGACAACAGAAAAGCCATCAGTCATTTTATATAAATACAAAATTTTTAAACATTTCATTTACAGTAAGACAGGAAACACCCTCCCCAAACTCCAGCACCCCCTCTCCATTCTTTTCTACTTCAAGAAGAGCTGGTTCCCCGATCTTTTATTGTATCCAGGTTGTTTTTTTCTCTTCCTTCCTTCTTCTTCTTCTTCTTTTTTTTAAGTGTCATGAATTAATATCTGTTGAAGAAGTAAAAAAATCATTTTGACATGAATATAACTATCACTGGGTTTTACATTAATGTGATAACATGGGAAGGGGTGAAAACAATTGGATCATTTTATGCATGCTGTTCGTAAAATGAAAACACTGGCTTTCCATTTAAATTTATTTAAATTTTTGTTGTTAGTGGTATAGAATTTGTTTTTTGGAGTGAAACTCAATTAACTTTCTCAGTGGCATGGTAGTAAGTCTGAAATTGGTTGCTAATAGGAGAATGATGGTTTTTACTGTAAAATAAACTGCACGGAGACCGAAAGGAAACCACCATTTTTCTCTTCCTTTGAACTTGGCATCAGAAGGTCTTGATACACATACCATTTTATGGATGTATCAGATCAAGGTCATGTGTTAGGTTAAGTGAATGCAGTTGTTTGTAAAGTATAGTTATTAGAAGCTCTGAAAGGGTTGTACGGTCCCTTTTAGTTGCAGAAGTCTTCCTGATGTTTTGAATGATACTCAGAATTAGGAAAACGGATCTTTTTTTTTTTTTCTTAAAGAATCTTTTTTTTTTTTTGGAGCATTCAAGATGAAAAAAACAGGTTCAC